TTAATTTATGTAATTTATTTTGGTGTCATTTTAATTTTTTTACTTTCTAATGATATATTTTGTTATAGAAAATAATTATTTTATTATAATTTAATAAATTACGTAAATTAATCAAAATATATAAACAAACGCTGAACAATTGTTTTGTTATGTCCTGTTCTGTGTTGTCTTATCCAATCTTATTAAACGCTGAACATTTGTTCTGTTATATCCTATTATATGCTGTCCTATCCTGTCTAGACACCAAACGTACCCTAAATGATGATGGTGCTTAGGTAATTCTCATGTGCCATTTGTATTTTACAATCGAGCATTACTAAAATGCCATGTGATGACCATGCTCTCAAGTACCGAAACATTCCAAGTTGGGTTGTTCAGAAAGTCATTTGATTCAATTTACAATCGGTCAATCATGATTGATTGGATTGGATCTATTGCCAAGGAGAGCTGCCGCAAGCCTTTTGCTGACGTGCTGCTGTCAAAGGGTGTGTTTATGTAAGTCCCATAACATTGGCTTACCGATGTCAATTACCCCTCCATCCCAAATAAATGTCCACAATGGAAAATACACACAGTTTTAGAAATGTGTAATTATCACACTTTTTAATTAATTGAAGGACAATTTTTAACCTTAACGATAGAGTGAGTAATGAATTTCTTTATCTCATAATTAATTGTAGAATTGGAAAGTATGCATTTACTTTTGGAAGTTGACACTTCCTCAGGGACAAACTAAAATAGAACTGTGGACACTTATTTTGGAAGGAGGGAGCATTATTATTGACTTTCTTTGTTGATCAGTCTAGTATATTTCATGCAAAACTTGATATATGTGTGTAATTATAACAGTCTGTATCTGTATTGTTCCTTCTTGACTTCATTTGGAGAAATATTTGAAGTCTGATCATTTAATTTTGCAACTCTATTCACATTGAAGTCACGGAAGCTGGTGGATGATGCATCACTAAAAAATTTAATTTTTTTGCTGATCATAAAACGACTGTATGGTTTTGCTACTTTCTTAATCTTGCTAGAATATTAATTTACAAATGGCTACTGTAAATTATTCCAGGATGGAGTTGTTCTCTTTGATTTTCTGCTTCTAGTAACAAGTACTTTTTGACAGGTTTTGAGAATGCCAGTGGTATCTGTACTTCTGAACAAGGTTTGTTCAAATATTATTATTTTTATCATCATTCATGATATCATATGGCCGTATATTTATTAATATTATACCTCATCTATTATTTTTCGTTGATGAAATTTGCAGGATGGTGGCAGTTATAGAGGCGTGAAATTGGTTTCTGGCCAGGAATTAACCAGCCATCAGATGGTAATGGATCCATCGATTACCATAGCATCTCCTCTGGTTAATTCTTCTTCAGAATCTCCCAAAGATGTTTCTAATGTCTTTGATCTTCGAGATGTCAGTGGGAAGTTGGCCCGTGGGATATGCATCGCAAAGAGTTCTTTAAAGCCAGATGTATCAAATTGTCTGGTCATATATCCTCCTAGATGTAAGATCAAACTGTAACAGTATTTCTTAGCTTGTTGAAATTTAGACATGCTATCTGACTCTGGTTTCTCTAGCTCTGTACCCTGATCAGGCTACATCAATCCGGATTCTCCAGCTAGGGAGCAATTTGGCCGTTTGTCCTTCTGGCATGTAAGATTTTTAATTCTTTTTAATTTCTTATTTTTCCCTCCGTCCCAAAATAAGCGTCCATAATTTTATGTTGGTTTGTCCCAAAACAAGTGTCTTACAAAAGTACTTTCCAATAGTACCCTTAATTAGGAGATGGAAAAGTTCATTATTCTCTATTACAAGGGTAAAATTGTCATTTAGTTAATTGTAAAATAATTATAATTTTATGAACCGAAATGATTGAACAATCGATATAGAAACCAAGAGATAAGGATATTGTAAGATGCTTCGATCAACATGGAAAGCGAAGAACAAACTAGCATTCGAGGGGCTAGGACTCTCCCATATAGAACTCACTAATTTTCTGCATGCTTCACACTCCCTACAGCCTCCCTATTTAAACTAAAATTATTCTATGCACCCAAATTACCCTTATAACTACTCTAGAATATTCTTAGGAATAGGCTTGGGTCACTAACTATATGCCGTTTTCATTATGGCATTTATTTTGAGGGCGGAGGGAGTAAATGATTTTTTTTTGAAGTATATAATATTTATATACGGCAAATAACAAATAAACTCACACACCCTCCTCACCTTTGATGAGGTTTGACCCCTGACCTCCCCGGGGGCCAAAGACTCGCATACCGAAGGCCAAAGGCCCTTTGGTGAGGGAGTAAATGTTATTGTATAGTTATTGCTATAATCAACTGATGGAAGACCATTTATACTTCAGGTTTGTTTTCTACGTTTCAGTTGTATGTGATGATGCTCTTGAAGGAAAAAGGTCTCTGCATGCGGCTATTGATGGTCTTTTCTCAATACACTCCTCGGGCGCAACTGACACCAGTTCCACTGTTCAAACCGACACTACAGAAGCGAAACCTTCTTTGCTTTGGAGTGCACTGTTTATACAGGATCTGATTGAGGTATGCTTTCTTGTTGATCACTTTATCCTTGTTCCTCTTGTCGTCAAATTTTTTTCTCTGATATTTTCTTTGGTATCAAGTTTTGGAGCCACACTTRCATCTTTATGTTATGCAGTTCATTAATAGGCTGTGACGGCCATATATTTCTGTTGGTTTATCTTTTGATGTTTTTCGTAAATCGGGTGCCTCCTTTGATCTTAGGGTTCGATGGGACCTGTGGTTGCGACCCCTACTCCAGATGGAAATCTGAACTACAACGATGTTCTAGGTGCAACTTCAAAGGTATYTTCAGTATCCAATCAAAGCATGTTTCATTTTCAAAAATTAGAAAATTAAGATTATAAAAGTTTGAAATTGTTGTATTGGTTTGGATCAGAAACCTATATGGCTATATCCATCTTGATCATTATAACTAAGTTGCATCTTGAAGAATGG